TTAATAATCGATCCCCATTTTAATAGCTAATATCTAGTGGGAAGATCATGGAATCCGGTACATTTGATGAGTTGCTGACAAAGAGTGAAGAATTTCAGGACCTTGTTAATGCACAAAAAACTACTTCTGATCCTAAATGTCAAGAAGTTCATGCTACTAATAAAAGGCCTATGGAAGCTGAGATAGAGTTTGATAATAATGTTTCCTCCGAGGAACGAGATGATGTAGTTTTTCTAAAAGGAGATCAATTAATCAAAGCAGAAGAACGAGAAGTAGGAGACGCTGGATTGAAGCCATACATACAATATCTAAAGCATAACAAAGGATTCTTGTATTTCTCCTTGGCAGTCATTGTTCACTCAATGTTTGTAGTTGGGCAATATATACAGAGCTACAAGTTGGCTATTGACCTTCAAGATTCTAGTGTTAGCAGATTAAAGTTAATCAGGGTCTACACAGTCATTGGCCTTAGTGTAATACTCTTTCTGATTTTAAGATCCGTATTAGCGGTAAAGCTGGGGCTTGGTGCATCAAAATCAGTTTACACTACACTGTCAAGCTCTCTTTTCTTTGCACCAATGTCCTTTTTTGACTCGACGCCTTTTGGAAGAATGCTTAGTCGGGTAAGAACTAAACTGTTGGATCAATCATCCTATGTCTGATCTTAGTTTTACTTGGTTGATCTATTTGTTTTTTATGCAGGTATCTTCAGATTTGAGCATTGTTGACATTGAGTTGCCTTTCTTACTGAACTACACTGTTGGATCAATCATTATTTCATACTCTACCTATGCCATCCTGTGTTTTTTCGCTCCAGAGGTCCTGCTGATCATCGTGCTTATGATTTACGTAACAATATCAGTTCAGGTAATAGACATTGTAATAACTTTTAAGTTCTTGTAGCTTTCAAATGTTAGTAGTTACTTCAAATGTGTAATTTTATCTCGCAGAGGTACTATAATGCTTCTGCTAAAGAACTGATGAGATTAAGTGGAACGACAAAGTCTTTAGTCGCCAATCATTTAGCTGAAAGCATTTCTGGGATAATGACTATTCGAGCTTTTGGACAGGAAGGCCGTTTCTTTTTGAAGAACTTGGAGTTTATCGATAAAAATGCTAGGCCAATATTCCATACATTTTCAGCAACTGAATGGTTAATTCTACGTTTGGAGACAATATGCACGATTATCATGTCCTCATGGATGCTTGGCATGACATCTCTTCATAGCGGGAGCTCTGGTTTGTTCCATTTATGCTTTGATATATGACATTATCTAAGGCCTAATTGTGCGTATCAGAAAATCACAGATTGAATTACCTTGTTGCTGAACAGGACTTACTGGAATGGCATTCTCCTATGGCCTATCACTAAATGCAATACTTGTTTGGTGTGTTCAATGTCAATGCACATTAGAAAATTCTATAATCTCTGTAGAAAGGCTAGAACAATACATGAGAATACCTAGTGAAGAATCTGAACTAGTGCAAACAAACCACCCTCTACCTGGTTGGCCTACCTGTGGCAAAGTGGAAATTCGCGACCTAAAGGTGTGTTTTCATCAGTAGCAAGAAGCGTCAATCTGTTCAAAAACAATGCTAATCTATTGGAAGTTTGTTTTGAAACAGGTGAGGTACAGGCCAAATGCTCCATTAGTTCTTCAAGGTATTCGTTGTACATTTGAAGGGGGACAAAAGATTGGAGTTGTAGGTAGAACAGGCAGTGGGAAAACAACTCTTATCAGTGCATTGTTTCGACTAGTTGAGCCTACAGATGGCAAGATCATCATCGATGAATGTGATATTTCAACGATTAGGCTTCATGACCTTAGGTCGCGTATTGGAATTATTCCACAAGATCCTACACTCTTTACAGGTTCTGTAAGATACAATTTAGACCCCTTATCAAAATATAGTGATGAACAGATATGGAATGTAAGTTCATTATACATATACATATATATATGTTGTCTCATAGCTAATGTTTCTAACAGAGTTTTGTTGTTTTAAGGTTCTTGATAAGTGTCAGCTTAGAGAGGCTGTCCAAGAAAAAGAAGGGGGACTAGATTCCTCAGGTAAACATATATATATAGCTCATTTTATAAATTCAACATCACCCTTTACAACTCCTGTTTTGTGCAATACTTTCAGTTGTACAAGATGGATCAAACTGGAGCATGGGACAGAGACAATTGTTCTGTCTGGGACGCGCGTTGTTGAAGAGGAGTCGAATTCTAGTGTTAGATGAAGCCACTGCTTCCATTGACAATGCTACAGATGCAATTCTGCAGAAAACAATCAGGCTAGAATTTGCAGACTGCACAGTCATAACAGTTGCTCACAGAATTCCAACAGTTATGGATTACACTAAAGTTTTGGCAATAAGTGATGGTGAGTTACTTATGTTTATTCAAACAATAATATCACACTTCCTTTGTCACAATTATGTCACACTCCAAAATAATAATATGGGACATCTATTTCCGGATTCACGGTCGATATTTAAAAGTATGAATCTCAAAATTCCAGTGGTGCCACAATGAAATTTTTGCACCAATATTACAAATTCCGAGATACTTGATTAAAATGAAAGGATTCTAACTATCTCGCTATAACCTCGATGATACAAAGAAAGTATCTACTTCATAATATGTTGAAACTTACAATTCCCACATTTTTTATTTTCCAGGGAGATTAGTTGAGTTTGATGAACCAAAGAAGTTGATAAACAAAGAGGGATCATTATTTAGAATGCTTGTTAAAGAGTATTGGGCTCGTGTTGAAAAGTGAAATAACTAGAAAAATTTGATATTGGGGCATAATTATTGTATTTGAATTAATTATAAAGTTGCATTATATGTTTCACATTTGCAACTAGGCTATCACAAACCAACTTGAATTGTTGGTTACTTGTATGTCAATGGAAAATCAGATACAATATTTATTTGTTCAAAATTTCTTATCCAAAATAACTTAATTATAAATTACCTTGTTAGATGTACATTCCTATCGTATATACTAATTATATTTATAGTTTGTATAATTACATATCTTACCATTAATTAAGAGTTTTATATTTCATATTGAGCAAGATACATAGATACATGCATGTTTAATACCAGATACACGAGAGAGATAATCATGTATCTCAAATACATACACATTAGATACATGTATACGTATATATCTAGTATGATTCGTATACATAAGAGAGAAGCAAGCAAGAAGAGAGGTATACGAGCGAGTTTGTTTATGTATCCATGATACACGTGAATGCACTTGGACATAGTGTATCTAGAATAAACTACACCTAATTTTGACATTGTGTATCCCGTGATACATGTATTTGGACGCACCAAAATTTGATAGATTTTATGATATTACAAACTAGAATATGTCTAATAATCCGCTCCTAAGCAATATTGACATATATAACTTGTCGGTATTGTATACCTTTCTATTTCCTAATTTTTCACCATAAATGTTACTACCTAATCTTATTTGTGGGTTTCGCTGAGTGAAGCATAATATGGAGAGAAAAAATAAGAAATAGAAAAGCAGCCATGGAAGAATAAGAAAGAAAAATGAATATTGTACAACAATGTATATATTATATATATACATTTCTGATACACAGTTATACGTTATACATACACAATTATAAGTTATTCATAATATATGAATATATATTACATATTTACATTTACATGTAGCTATGTAAATCGATTATACTTGGGTTGTGATTTTAACTAAAGTCAATTCTAGACCAAATCAATCTGACATTATATGTATAATTTTTTAAATTTATTTTATACATAAAAATTTTTACTTTGATGTGATTTCTAATTATTACTTATAAGTTTTCACAATCTTTATCTTTTAACATATTTTTAAATTTTTTTGAAACTTTAAATTTTGAATGGTCCAATAAAAGTTATAATCCATAGATATTAGTAACTCTAATAAATCTCAATTCGAAATCAAATCAATATTATGCTAACAAAATAAATCAATTCAACAACAAGAATGACAATAATGTTGAATATTTGTTCTTTTTACATTGATTTAGACATTTAAAATATATAATCTAGTTTTTAATTTTTCTTTAATGTTTAATCATGTAACTAATACTTATTGGACTTATTTTAGCAATATTTAGTACTTTTAAATTATGATCATTTTCATTATGACTTTGCAATATTTATTTTATATGATGACTTCATTATTTTTTTATTGAATGTTTTAGTGTTATCATTCATCTCATATTTTGTGTTATTTTCTTAAAAAACACCTTAGATAGTTATATTTTAGTTTGACTAAAGAAATATTTGTAGCACAAGTCAATTATATGTTTGTATGCATACTTTATCAGAAAAATCCAAAAACCTGAAAAAAAATCCAAGGTTTATTGGTTTGCTTTGATTTAAAAATTTACAAATTCGACACAATGATTTGGTATTTGAAAAACCCGAACCAACTCGAGGTTGAAAAACTCTAAAAAAATTCAACTTTATTAGTTTGGTTTAACTTATAAATTTTAAATATTTTACACAAATAATTTAATATGATATTTGAAAAATCTGAACCAATCAGATTATGTACACATCCAATTGTGCTTATGAAAGTACATTCTCTCGAACAACAAAAAGAAAATAATGCAAAAAAAGTTTAATTTCAATATTTGTAGATTTTATTGTGTACCAATTAGGGGTGGGCATGGTACATGATAGATACAAAAATATATCGATATCAAAATCTTTTTTTTACCATGACTAAAATTATATGGTATTTCTTATGATTAAGTAATCATTTAAAATTTATTTGATACAAATTCATAAATGGGTCATATTAAAATTAAGATATACTCATTCAAATAAATATTGTGAATTTGTATAGTTTGACTAATTATAATCTTTAAGTAAGCGCAATAAATATGAATTTAGTTTATTAAAGTCCAATTTCATTGGACCAGTCCATTGATTTGGGCTATAAATTGGTGGTGTTTGTTATAGTATTAGTCTTATTCTAGTAAGTAGGTTTTTTCTTTTGAGGATCTTTCGGAAATAATTTTTCTATCTTCGCGAGGTAAAAATAAGATATGTATATATTTTGATCTTTCTGAAACTCACTTATCAAATTTCACTAAACATGATATTATTATTGTTGTTGTTATTATTATTGAACCTTATTTATGTTTTAAGAATAATCTTTACTTATCTAATATTTATTCTATTTATGTTATATAATTGAGATGTTTATAATCTTTAAAAACAATTACAATCAAGTAAAATGAGGTTTTTTTTTGTTTTGGCACTTCTTAAATAATAAATATATTTAATTTGTGACAGTAAAGATTACCGCAGGACATTTTCTTTTCATTCGAAAGACTTATTATAATAAAACACTTTTCCTTTAGATGGTAAAGCTCTTTAATTTGTATTCTAAAAATACACCAAACAAATGAAAATTATTCTTTTAATGCATATACTTTTTAGATCTCCCACCCCCCACCAAAGGTGTATAATATTTTCCTTTTGATACACTTTTTGTCTTATGTTTAGTTCATTGAAAAAGAGAAATATGCTCTTTTCTTTTTTTCTCATCAAAAAGCTAAATTTATTTCGTTGTGTAAATAGAATTGATGGGGGAGAAAGTATAAGTATCAATTTTATCATAATAATATAATAGTATAAAAGAACAATGTTTCAAAATTAAAATCTAATGTATTAAATTTTCAGATTTTCAAAGGATTTATAAATAAATAATTTCCAAGAAGTCTAATAAAAAGACTTAAATAAGCAAAATACATGAGATAATAAAATAAGCAATAATAACATATTCCGTGTAAGATACACACATATTTTATTTTTATCTTTGCAGAGTAAAAAAAATAATATTTTTGATAGATCTTCAGATCTCAACTCAAACGAACACTCAAAGTAGGAGTGTAAGAAAAATATAACGGATATAAAATAAAAATATGAAATATAATTAGATTAATTTTCCTTATAATTTGAAGAATAAATTCATCAAAACATCTATATATGAAAAAAAAAATGTTGTTGTCTTAATAGTTTGACCTAAAAGCTAAAGAAATTAAACAGTTGAAGCTTTTGTGAAAGAAGAGGCAACCTCGGATTCTAGAAAAGTACTTTGTTTGCCACAGTGAGAAAAATACTTATTTTTCTTTCTTTTCTAATATATATATATATATATATATATTAAATATATATATATATATATATATTAAATATATATATATAAAAACAATCATATTAAAACTAAATAGTCTAAAGATACTAATGTTGAACAAAAAAAAAAAGTATGGTGTATTCATCTCTCATTTTATGGGGTTTGGAAAAGAGTTAGAGCCAGTTTGGCTCAGCTTAAAAGCCGGTCAAATTGATTTAAAAGCTGATTTTTGACTTATTTAGCTGTTTGGCAATACACAGAATAACTTATTTTAAGTTAAAAAAACTTATTTTAAGCCAAAAGTTAAAAGCTGGGGTAGGGGTGCTTTTTTTTTAGCTTATAAGCTGTTTTAAGTTGACCACATTTTTATATTTTTGCCCTTAATATTTTTATAAAATCTCCAAATTACCAACATAACCTAACATCTCTTTCTTCCATTTTTCCATTGTCACGTTTGACATAGCAACTTCAGCACTTTTATCCAAACACATAACTGCTTATTTTAAAAATAAGTTTCAGCACTTTCAAAAGTACTTTTTTAAAGCTGTTTTTATTAAGCTCATCCAAACGGGCCCTTAAACCACAAAGGTCTGTTATATTAATGCACTCTTGCGGCGTTTATTCTACATTTTCTTCAAGAGAATGTATAACAATATGAACTCGTAATTTCTTAGTCACAAGATAATAAATTTATCAGTTACGATAAGATTACATTTCAAATGTATATTGATGTTAGATAGTATAGTGTAAAAATTATTCACATAATTAGGTCAAGGAAATCCTTATGATAAATATTAATCACTTCAATTGGTAATTTGATATAAAAAATAATTAATTTGTTTATTATTGCAAGTTAAATTATTGATAATGTAATTTGTTTTAGAGTAATGTATCTAATAATGAGTCGAGGTTGAGATTGTTCGGACATGTGTAAAGAAAATGTACGGATGATTTCAAGAAAGGTAAAGGTGATTATACATGCAGAACGCAACTTTAACTTAATGACCATGTGACATTAGATAGAAGGTTATAGAGGACATATTAGGGTGGTAAGTTAGTTGAGCGATGTATTACTCTTATGTCTTTGTCCTTTGAGTTTAATTAATTATTATTTGTGATTTTTACATTTTGATTATCATTGTATTTTTTTAGAATGATTTGTCGGGTTGTTTGTAGTGTTTTGTTATGATTACTATTATTTACATTATTTTATTCCTCATACTATTATGAATTGTTTTTTTTTTAGCCGAAGGTCTTCAGAAACAACATTTCTACTTTTAAGATAGTAATAAGATCTATGTATATTTTATCCTTTTCAATTTATTTTATGAAATTACATTAAATATATTATTTGTTATAATGTAGTTTATTTTAAAAAAATATTTAATTGATATATATTACTTACTTTTGACATCATTGGAATTGAAAAACTTTACTAAAAAGACATCAATCCATATGCAGCTTTCTTTATAGACAAAAGAAACCAATCCTCATTCCAAGAATTTCCCACTTCCCAACTGAAATATAATTTCTCATTTACCACTTTGTTTTTCATTATATGTAGTATCAGAACCCTTCCTTTTAATTATCCAAAATACTCAAAAATTTGATTACAATTGTCATATAAAAATATTGAGAAAAATTTAAAACCTCAGCTTGTTTGGATGTTTGTGCTTATTATTATGCAATTATTTTCTTTGTTTTTATAGTAATTCTAATTAGTATCTTGCTTTTAAACTTCAGATTATTAAATAATATAATATATAATATTTGATGCAATCCATATTTACATTTATCGTATTCT